CATGTGAATAAATTAACTATAGAGTTAGGATGATCTAGTAAGATGGCTGGATATTATGATAAATATATACCAATAATTTTCTGGTTACATGAAATTGTGACATGGATTTGTGTTTCATGTGAATGTTCACCAACTCTACCTGTCGATTGGCATTACTCAGATTTATAAGACCCCATATGCCTGGTTCCCATCCCAGATTGCAACCTCTGTGTAGAGCGTCATATTTGTGCTAAGCTGATTCTGTCATAGTGAAGGTTGAAAGATACCTTCTGTAGATTTATAACCCTTGTATTTGATATCTAAAAATCCACCAATAACAAAAGAATATAAAGAGAAAGAATATCCTTTTCTGAACAATCATCTAAATGCCTAAGACTAACCAAAGCCAGAGAACTATGTGATTTACATAAAGAAAATTATGGAATATTAGGCTTGAAAATACAAAGGCTTGAAAAATTATCCATGTCAGCACCTCACAAATTGGATTATAAATTTAACATAATTATAGTCATTATTTCAATAGGATCTTAAAAGTTTCATAAAATTATCAAACATGAGTGGGATTTTTTAATGTTATTCTGAAATGAAACAATACAGAATTGAGGTGAGTACAGGAAACTGGAAACCCAAGAATAATTAGGAGGGACTGTCTGTTTTGTATTAAAGCATAACACAAAGCACAGTACGTTAAACCATGTGGTAACTGTGCCAGCCAGTGTGGAAGTTCATCCTGAGTAGCCATACCATTACTGATTCAATTATGGTACAGAATTAAAATTCAACTGTTACAGTAACTAGTTGCTTCAGTGTTGAAATTAGATAATTTTATCAACCCAAACGAATCTGACCTTTGAATGAACTAGATTTAGATTGGTTACCATTCACCATAATCCTGAGAGAGTCCTCCTCACTGGCTGTGCAGCTCTCATTGTTTCAGTAGTCCTTTTATCAGGATGGATTCCCAGGAAATTACTTGGGCTAATCCCAGGGTGAGGTCCTCCCCAAACAGTCATCCAAGTCTGCAGCAGCATCTCTTAGCAAGGTCTGATTTATCACCAAAAAGCCATCTGTTCACAGTATGTGCTCCCTAGCTAAGGCCATGGAGATATATATATTTTTTGCTTTTGTTTTTATTCTTTCAGGGTGAAATAGTTAAGAAGTACACTCAGTTCAATCCTAAAACCTATGAAGAAAGAATTAATTTAATACTTCAGATGTGTGTGGAAGCTGCAACAGAAGCTGTAAAACTGAACTGCAGAATTTTGGGAGTAGGTGAGATTATAAACTACAAATCCAAGAATTGTTCTTTTTATGTTCACAGTTCACCAAGTTCTTATGCTTAACCAGCCAGTGTCTGCCTGTGAATGGATTCCAGGTCCTGTCTGGGCCGAAGCATGCCTTGGCATTAATGGGAGCATGGATGGTTCTGTAAGGTTGCAGGGCACTGTAGATTCAGCTCAGAACTGACTGGTATTTCCTTGCAGCTCTTGGAAATGTGCTAGGACATCTTGGGTGAATTAATTTATGTCCAGAGCCCGAATAGTTGTGCTTTCCTAAAATGGCTAATCCAAATTCTCTTCCCTGTTTGTGGTGGAGCTCAGGCATTTCCACAGGTGGCCGTGTGAATCCTCAGGAAGGAATTGTGCTGCATTCAACCAAACTGATACAGGAGTGGAACTCTGTAGACCTCAGAACCCCATTGTCTGACACTTTGCATCTCCCTGTGTGGGTGGACAATGACGGCAATTGTGCTGCCATGGCAGAAAGGAAGTTTGGCCAAGGAAAAGGACAAGAAAACTTTGTTACACTCATCACAGGCACAGGTGAGAGGGGCAGGGAAGCCTGCTACAGAATGTGTGCTGGGACATGGCTTCAGCCCCCAGTGAGGACCTACAGCGATGCCTTAGCCTTCGCTTCTGGCTGAAGTAGACCATTAAGGTGAAGCACGCTAGAGATTAGAGCTTCCTCAGTTTTTTTCTGAACAGTGCCTGGCCTTAGGCATTCTAAATTCCTGGCCTTCTAAGTTCCCAGGAATTTACCAAGCTGTTCAGTTTTCATTCCCCAAAGCATCTCATTCCTCAGCTTTTCCTCCTAGTCTGTGCACGTGTATGTGAATGTGATCTGCATATATGTATGGGGCCAGAATACAACGTCAAGTGTCATTCTTTAGGCATCATCCACTTTTTTTTGAGACAGGGTCTCTCATTGGCCTGGACCTTGCCTACTCACATGTGCCACTGTGCTGGGCTCTTTTTAATGTCAGTTCTAGGCTCAAACTCAGGTCCATGTGCTTGCAAGTCAAGCACTACCAACTAAGACATCTCCCCAACCCTCCTACTAGTCTTTTCAGTTAGTCTATTACATGACCTATTTTCTAGGTAACTGATACTAATAACAGTTTTAAAAAATATTATTTTTATTGTATGTTAATTAGCTGTTAGCCTACATATGGGTGCTAGGAACTGACCTGGGGCCTCTGCAAGAGCAGCCAGTGCTCTTTACTGCTGAGCCATCTCTTCAGCCCCTTAATGTTTTTTCATAAACCCCTTCTTAAGTCCCCTCAGCCCTGGGATAGTTTCCAGGTGAGAGAAAGGCAGTTTGAACTGATAACTAGAGAGCTAGCTATTAGGTAGCTTGGAACAAACAATCACAATTTTTTTGAGGGAGGTTTTCCTCCTTCAGGTATGATATCTAGTACTGGGGTCTGTACACCAACACTGAGAATGTGTCTGCTTTCTAAGGTCACTGCCAAGTGGAATAGTGGGTGATATGACCAGACAGGAAGTTAAAAGACCAGAAAGCTTTTTTTTTTTTTTTTTAAATTTAAATGAGATTCTACAAAGGGGATAGAGATATAGTTCAACGGTAGAAACACTTTCCTACCATGTATAAGACCCTGAGTTCAGTCCGAAGTACTTCCAAAAAAGGAAAAAAGTACCGGGCATGGTGGCACATGCCTTTAATCCCAGAATTCAGGAGGCAGAGGCAGGTGAGTTCATACATCTACATATCAAGTTCTAGACTAGCTGGGGCTACAGAGAGACACTGTCTCAGTAAGACCAAAATGAAAAAAGAATTATAGCCAGGCATAGTGGCTTACACCTGCAATCCCAGCACTTGAGAAACTGGCAGGTGGATTGCTGCAAGTTCCAGGCCAGCCAGGGCTATAGAGCTACTAAATTCTGCATTACATCACCTCCCTTTTCAGTTCCTTGTATTTGATTGGTTTGTTTTTTGTGATAGGGTCTCAGGTAGCCCATGCTGGCCTCAGACTCATTATGTAATTGACGCTGTCCTTAAACTCCTGATCCTCTGGCCTCAGCCTCCCAAACTCTGGAATTATAACTGTGCACCACCACATCTGGCTTGTATTGTATCTTATGGACTTCCTCCTTTTGTCTTTCTAGCTCAGAACAGTTAATAAGCTGAAGAATTGACAGACAGGTGTCATAAGAATAGGTGGCGGGACAGTTCTTAAAAGCAGAGCCTTTGGGGTGGGTGTGGTAGCACTAGTCTTTAATTCCAGCACTCCAGGGCCAGCCAGGGCTACATAGTGAGACCCTGTCCATTAAAAACAAAACAAAACAACAAAAAAGCAGAGTGTTGTAAGGTCAAATGCTTTTTACTCCTTAGTAACTCCTAAACTCCATAATAAAAGATAGTCATTTGTACTTGTTTTTGTTGTTGTTTTGTGATGGGCTCTATAGTCCTGGCTGGCGTGGAACCCTATGTAGCCTAGCCTACCTGGATTAAAGCCAATTGACACCATGCCTGGTATTGTATTTATTTTTGAATCATAGATTTTTTAGACAATCATATTCCATGTTCTCTACTTCAAGAAGCAGTTACTGTGACACAATTAGAAGAGCATGCTACAAGGACCTAAGTACAGGCATTTTCTTTTGGAGGTGGCCCTGAGAAGCAGGAAGGAGGGAGTGGGAAAGGTAAAACAGGAGTAAAGCCATTGAAGGATGTGCTATCCAAGTCCCCTCAAGGGCAGTGAGGGCTGAGATTTCCCAGGACTCTGAAGATGCCTCCCACAGTGCTATCCGGAACTATCTGCTTGCATCTGCTGGCTCCTGCCTCACCTGGGTAAGGGCTGCCTCGGTACTGACCTGTCTAGCTGATAACTCTCACTCCAGTATAGAAGGCATTAGTGCACAGAAGCAGGCAGTGGATACAAGGTGTTTCAGATGCCACAGCTGAGCTTGAAATCTATGACTGAAACAGATGAGACAAAAGACATCAGATGTCTTAAAATACTGCCTTCCAAAATACCACTAAATAAAGTTTCGGTGCTTAGTAAGCTCCAACCATCTAGAAAAGCAGGCATTCATACTAAAAAACTTTACTCAACAGACAGGGTATCACCACAGCCTCATTTTCTGTTTCAGATAGTGCCACGGCAGTGACTTGTCTCTCCCTGCAGGGATTGGTGGTGGAATCATTCATCAGCATGAGCTGATCCACGGCAGCTCCTTCTGTGCTGCAGAACTTGGCCACCTTGTGGTGTCTCTGGATGGACCTGACTGTTCCTGTGGAAGCCATGGGTGTATTGAAGCATATGCCTCTGGAATGGCCTTGCAGAGGGAAGCAAAAAAATTACATGATGGTTGGTATTTTTCTCCTTGGGAGATAACTAACCAAACAGTGGACAAGTACTTGAGAATGGACATTACAAATTGCTGAGCATGGAAAACACCATTTTGAGCTTTTCATTTCTTTATTCTGATGCTCCAAGGTATCCTTGGTCCTGACCCAGATTTATACAATTTCTCACTGGGGTCTAGAGCTCCAAGTCAGCAGAGACAAGTTCTTCCAGGTTTGTTTTCTAAGCTACTGGCAAAATAGAGACTCAATATACATTTTAGTGAAGAGATGAACATCTTACAATTTTACAGTATGCCCAATGCATTGAGAAAAATGGCCAAGGAAGTAGGTACCTGTAAAAGACACCAGGGTTCCTTCTCTGCCCTCCATACAGGGAAGGGAGGGCGTTGTCAGCATGCCATCTGGGAGCCAAGCATTAGCAGATACGTGACTTAGGAAGGGAAGTGAGCTCTTTCAGGCTGGAAACAGTGATGTTGGTGCATAAATAGCAAGGCAGGGTATATAGTGTTCGGGGAGGGCCAGCAGGTCAAAGAAACCATTGAACACTTACAGAAAAGTCTGATCTGATTTCAAATTCTTCAGAAAACTATAAACTTTTGGTTTCTGGTTTTCTTTTGTTTTTGTTTTTGGTCTTTTTGAGACGGGGTTTTTTTGTAGCCCCAGCTGGCTTGTAACTTACTATGCAGACCAGGCTGGCCTGGAACTCATAGAGATCTGCCTGCCTCTGCCTCCCAAGTGCTGGGACTAAATGTGTGCATCATTTAGTTTCTGAATAGAGTAGTGAAGTGGAGGATGGCTTTAAGTGGGACAGTTCTAGAGTGACTTCTAGTTTTCTGGTCAGACCTCTTGGGGTTGGAATATTAAGAGAAACAGGTTTAGATGGCAGATAGTGGTGGGGTACTGAGGGACATCCAGGTGGAAATGCCCAGGAGGCAGGTGGATTCAGGGAGTCATGACTTAGTTGAGATAAAGGGGTTGTGGTAGTTAGGAATCAATGGATATTGAGGTGGTAGTTAAACCTAAGACTGAGACCCAGGGAGTAAGACACAAGGTATAGTCAAGGATAGGATCCTGAGAGGATCATGTGAGTGGCAGGGAGAGATGGGAAGAAAACTAGGAAAGAGAAACGTTACAGGATCCCCAGAGGGAGAATGTGGTCACCAGTGTTAAGGGCTGCTTATGAGAACATCAGAAAAAATTGGCTTTGAGCACAATAACTTTTTTTTTTGAGACAGGGTTTCCCTATATCCCCAGCTGGCCTGAAATTCACTATGTAGACCAGGCTGGCCTCACAGATCCATCTGCCTCTGCCTCCCCAGTGCTGGGGTTAAAGGCATTTGCTACTATGCCTGGTTTATATGCCCATAAAACTGGTTTTGACGGGCGTGGTGGCATATACCTTTAATCCCAGTACTCAGGAGGCAGAGGCAGGCAGATCTCTGTGAGTTCAAAGCCAGCCTGGTCTACATAGACAGTTCTAGGCCAGCTGGGACTATGAGGAGACCCAGTCTCAAAATTATCAAAAAAACCTGTTTTTGAGCTGTGTGTGGTTGTACGTGCCTTTAATTCCAGCACTTGGGAGGCAGAGGCAGGCGGATCTTTGTGAGTTCAAGGCCCGCCTGTTCTACATAGCAAGTTCCAGGACAGCTGGGGCTACATGGAGACTCTGTTTCAAAAATATTTTTAAAAAATCCAAAAAACAAAACCAAAAAAAAAAAAAAGAAAAACTGTTTTTGAGCCCTGTTTTCATTGTCAGTCACCTAGTGAGCCTTGGTAGATGGCTCCCAGTCATTCACCTTCCATGAAACTCACACCCCACAGATACATTGTTTATCTGTGTATGATGCTATATATACATAAAATAAGATTTTGTTGCTCTGAAAATGAGTCTGTGAGCTTGTGTCAATGGGACAGACAGGGAGTGGAAGTGAGGGTCTCTGAGAATGCAGGAGAAAGGTATGCAGTCCCTGCAGTAGTGTCCCTTGTGTGTGGATAAGAGATAAGCTGCAAAGGCAGGCAGATGACCCAAGAGAGGTCAGGAAGAGTAAAGATGTGCAGATGTGGGGCAAAAAGTACAAGAATCCCTGCCTCATGGTGTCCACTGAGGAGTATGGTGTGGAAGTCTGATGGAAAATGGGAGACAGTTGGTAGCTGGGAGGCCAGGGGAAAATGAGAGCATCAGGTGATAACTATGTAGTAGTCTGAATAGTTTTCTTCCTTCAGATCCAAGAATAATAGTAACAGACAAGTTGATCTGGTTTAGTGTATTAGCTTTTTGTTACTGTTTCAAAATACTTGAGATAACTTAAAATGAGGAATGGTTAGGCAGGTGAGCTGGCTCAGCGGGTAAGGGTACTTGCCACCAAGCCTGATGGTCTGAGTTCAATCCCTGGAATCCACATGGTGGAAGGAGAGAACCAACTCCAGTGAGCTGTCCTGTGACCGCCACATGTATGCCATGATGCAATGTATATGCACACACACGCACACTCAAGTGTTTTAAAAAAGGGTTTAATTTAGCTCATAGTTTAAAAGGTTTCAGTTCATGACTAGTCAGCACCTGCCTTGCCTTGGACCCCTGGCAGCACAGCACATCATGTGTGGCAGGAGTGCACGGCAGAAGAGGCCTGTTCACCTCCTGGTGGACTAGGGACCCAATGTCTTTGAGTGTGTCCTCAATGACTTAACTTTCTCATATTAGGCCCTAACTCTTAAAAGTTCCATCACTTCCTAATACTGCCACAACTTGACAATTAAGCCTTTAACCATGGGCCTTTGGAGGCCACTTATCCAAACGTAGCAGTTGCCTACTATTGGGGGCTAGGGAGATGGTTCAGTCAGTAAAGTGCCTGCTTCACAAGCTTGAGGGCTTGAGTTCGGATCCTCAGCACCTATATAAAAAGCCAGGGATGGGAATGCACATCTGTAATCTCAGCAGCTGGGAGGCAGAAACAGGAATGTCCCTGGCACTGCCGGCTACCAGTCTAGTCAAATGGTGAGTTCCAGATTCAGTGGGAGACCTTGCCTCAAAAAATAAGGTGGCAAGCAACTGAGGAAGATCCCCAACCTCAACCTCCACACGCATACACGTGCGTATTCACTCATGTACATGTATACATATGTACACAAACACATATGCCACACACATAGAAAAGAGCCTACCATTTAGCATTTACTTCAGCCAGCATTGTAAAAATATGTCTGTTTTTATTGGACCCACCAATCTTTTAGAAAAGAGAAACATACATACAAAGATGGTATGACATGGGCGGGTTCATGAAGCTAGTAGCGAAAGAACTGGAACTGAGCTGGGGCTGGCCAGGCCTGTGGCTCCTTAGCACTAAGCCTTGTTGCCATAGACCATGGAGCACTGGCCGGTACAGCATTGAGTCTGGGGTGAACAGGGAGGCACTGAATACAGAACTCTAGTATTTGGGATATGGGGAGAACAATTAAGGGTTCTGTTGAATACTGCAAGTCAGACATGAGGGAAGCAACAGGTAAGAAGCTATGTTGTGGCTCTTCCAAGTAGTTGTTTATTTTGTTAGCCAGGTAGCAATAGGGCAGCAATGTGTGTGGATATTTGCAAATGAGCAATAGCTCTGCAATTGTGAAAAGAAACACCTTGCTCAGAGCTTGGCGCCAGTAGGCACAGGTGTAAGCATGGCCTCCCCTGGGGACTGCTCATTATTGATTGCTTCTCCTCAGAGGACCTGCTCTTGGTGGAAGGGATGTCAGTGCCAAAAGACGAAGCCGTGGGTGCCCTCCATCTCATCCAAGCTGCGAAACTTGGCAATGCAAAGGCCCAGAGCATCTTAAGAACAGGTAAGCCTGTGGTCCCATCACTCAGGGCTCCACAGAGAATCCTATTTCCCTCAGAGGACCCCTCTGCATAGCCCTCTTAGAGGTGTTTTTCCTACTAAAGAAAAGGTATTGAAGGTGTCTGGAAGCACAAGCTTTTTCATTTGGTTATCTGCATACTGGAAATATTACTTGTTCACTTTATAGGGTATTAGAGAAACAGAGTAGAAAAACTATCACTTTAGTTTTAGCATTCAGAGTTACTGTTATTTCTTTTCAGTCCTATTCATTTTTCCTGAATTTTTTACAAAATTAAGATTGTATACTTTAGCATATGTTAAAAGTTTAGTTTTGCAATGCCTGGAATGAATCCAGAACCTCACACTTGTGGCCACTTAGCTAGACCCCTAGTGCCTTTTTCCCTCTTCAGATGGGTCTCACTGTGTTGCCCATGCTTGCCTCAGGCAAGAAATGGGAAAGATGCCAGCCGTGAGGATGGGAAAGACAGTAGACAAAAAGGCACCTGGTGTCTAGGTAGCAGCTTGCATGGCTAGGTGAGTCTGACTGAGGCCAGCTTTGGCTACAGAATGAGACCCTGTCTCAAAAAGAATAAATAAGTCATGAGACTCTTCTGTAGTGCCAGCTTCTCAGGAGGCTGAGGCAGGATATTGCTTGATCCCAGGAGTTTTGAGCCAGGTAGTGAGACACCTCCCCCCCCCTCCC